CTGTCTGGTTTTATTTTCTGGGTCTCTCTCAGGATAGTAGCTACCTACCCTGGAGTGGAATAAACCTTGGCGAGTGCACTAGGGGTCACAGGAATCAAGCAGAGACTGATAGGACATCATATTTGTTTCTCTTGTTTTAGATTAGGAACTCCACATCGGAACCTCACACTCCTTTCAAATGTATTAAGGAGCAATTTATTATTTGTCTACACCCGCGCATAGTGGGCCTACTTCCTCAAGCCAAGTACACAGAGGAAAGTACTATGATGCTATCTCACTATTAGAATTATATTGTAAAAGACAGAAAATGGTCAAAATTATCTTATGCTGAGATTTTAAGAAGTAATTCTTGATTATGTTCAAATGTAAATGTGTGCCATAGAAAAATGAGACACCTCACCCGTTAGACATTCAGTACCTCTAAGCCTGAGGCTACTCCTCTCGCCCTTTAGAAAAAAAGTTTCTAAGACAACTTCAAACCTTGACTACCAGGTGCTGAGGATGGAGTGTCTAGGCTGGCCATAATTCAAACCTCCATGAGGCTATATCCATCCTTAGCTAAGTTGTTCGGGCCCCTCAAAGACAATATCCCTTGCAGGAAGTAAATGGCAAATGTGGGACTATTTGTATTCATCTGTCTTTTTCTCAGTGATCTAAGACATATTAAATGAGACCTAAGAAAGTTTTTGATGACCCTGATATGTACATTGAGGTCTTTAGAGAAATTACTCAGACCTATGAACTAGATTAGAAAGATGTGATATTGACCTTCAATCAAATACTAGTTTTTAATGAGAAACAAGTAGTATTACACTAGAGACAAATATTATCTTAACTTTAGAAATTCAAAACATAGGCAGCCAGAGGAATAACTGGTTTCTACTGGAACACAATCAGTTCCTAAACGGGACCCCTACTGGCCTGACAATCAGATAGGAGGTTAAAACAGAAATAGAAGACATTTTCAGGCATGTATTCTTAAAGATCTAGGAAATATGAGAACTAAGCCCTTCATTTATTTTAAATTGCCAACTATCAGAAAGAGATGAGGACATCCCTAGATCCTGATTTGATAAAAGGAAATACTATAGTTTTCCCCAAGTCAGTCTTGCAATATGTAGATGGTATAGTGTTACATGCCCCTCAGAAGAGCTTTCTAGCCAAGACACCGTATTCTGCTGAATTTTCTAACAGACAGAGGTTATACTGTTTCTAGGTCTAAGGCTCATGTTTGCAGCCTTGAGGTAAAATACTTAGGCCTTAGTATGTCTCAGGGAACCCAAAGACTTGGGGAAGAAAGAATTAATCCAATTATTTCCTCTCCACAGCCCAAGACCCTAAAACAGCTATAAAGAGATTTCTAGAAATTACCGGCTTTTATTGACTTTAGATAGTAGGATATAGTGAGATCATGTGACCCATCTATCAGCAAGTAGAAAAACCAAAAGACAGCCATAGTTTAACCTGAGAACCTGGTTCTCAGACCACATTCCAGAAGCTAAATTAAACACTTCTAAGTGTCTACTTTCAGGACACCATTTCAGCTTGTATATTAATAAAAGGACAGCTAAGGCATGACTTTGGGAATGTTTCTGCAAGATCAGAGAGATGCTCAACAGCCTCTGTAGAGTATTTAAGTCATAAATTAGATATTATCAATTCAAAATAATTTATTTCAAAAAGAAAATCCCTAAGCAATATAGTTAGAACACTTTCATTCTCTTTCAAGAGATAAAAACAAAAACAAATAAAAAACAAAAAACAAAACAAAACAAAAAAAAACAGCCATTCAGATTCTTTGATTATTGGTTTAATTTTGTGCTTGGCAATGCAATTATAGGTGGTCATATCCTTTGTCTCTAGAGATATGTTCTGCTGAGGATTGCCTATCATTCTGGAAAATGTCCTTCTATACCTGAGATGGTTAAGATTTAGTTCTTGTGCCATACTTAAAGGCACTCTTCTGTCCCTTCTCTACTGCCCTGCCCTGAGAAATAATGCAGTTCTCAACCATATTTAACTCAAAGGCACTTCCCTCCTCGGTGGCTTCTGGATTTCAAGACAAAGCTTCCAGAATGGTAAGTGTCCCTTTCCTAGAACCCGTCCAGAGTAAAGCCGACCTTAATTTATTTCTAGGACATATTCAAAACTGGTCTAGGCTTCATCCCAAACTGTTGAAGACTAAATATACGTTTTAGTCCAGGTTTATCTGTCTTTCAGCCCTTGGGTCAAATTAGAGAATGAAAAGAACAGCTAACCTGGCTCTGGCCACTTCTTATACCTGTAGTCTGCCACCACTGGCACTGGACAAGACAAAGTCTGAGAGACACCTTAGATTGACCACAGAACAAGAGGGGTAGATAGAGTTGAGTTCTTTCCCTTTGTTCTTTTCGAAATAGAAAAAAACAGTCATAGGCAGACATCTGCAGCACAGCAGGCTGGAGCCTTAGCAGGCCTTCTTTCACTATGTAGAATTCATACTCAGCTCAAAAGAGGGTCCCCTGGTCTCTTCTACATGCAAAGCTGGCCTGAGTGACCCCACTGGAGATAGTTAAAATTACTTGGAACAGTCCGTCCCTTTAGCGAGAACAGGCATATGCAGCTATCAGCAACCATGAGAAGCCTGTATACCCCGTAGCTGGGGCTTCCAGTCGGATAAACTGTTATCTTAGGGCCCATCTTAAAACTGTTTTTGCTTTCGCAGGTGTAGATTTGTATTCCTTTGATTCTTATTATAAGAGATCTCTGTTAATTGATCTACAAAGTTCTAACTAGTATTATTTATAGTTATAAACTAAAAATTATAAAAGATATAATTCAACTTGGCCAAATACATCTGAGTGCACTCTGGTTTACAAACAAGTTAAGTGTGTGTCTGTTCAATTCCTTATAACATGTACAGCTGTTTTGTCTGAGGTTTTTTTTCTTTTGCCATTTGGAATTTTTAAAGATGTTTGCCTGTAACTCAGGTTGGCTTATAGATAAATGTTACTAACGACGTGCTTCCCCCAGATTGCGAGATGATCCAATTAATGTCAATTGGTTTTACAAATACAGTACGTATTGTTGTCTATATAATAACTGAGGAATCTTTCATAGGTCAAAAGTAACATGTTAATTGTTATGATCTGGCTCTCATAGGTCATCTAAAAATTTGTTTGGTCATGGTCAAACAGCTAAGTTTTCTATGGGAAAACAATAAGGTTTTATTTAAAATGCTTTTGGTATAAAACAAAATTAAAGCACAATGGGTTTCATGTACTGATACTTATTGTTATTTCATGATGTATATGTTCATGCATTCTGGGTGTACAAGTCTTCTAGGATATTGTTTATGGTAATGATCTTTTTGACTCATGTATCTGCCTTTCTTGCATTCCAGCTCCTTGTGGTAAGATAGATGTCAAGCCAGCATGAGCTAACCAGTCAAATAATAGTTTTCTTAAAAACTTATGTGATGTATGTTATATGTGTCACCAGTCAAAACAATGTCACACACTAAAATCAGAGGTTGGACATTATGAACTCCTAAGGTACCTCTACAGACCAACATGTATGTTATCTCTAGATGGCATTCTTCTAATGGATAACAAGAATTAAAGAAGAATTTTCTTTATGTCATTTAATGTCTTGTGATTAGATGGAGATATCTGAATGGAAGATTATTCCATGATAAGATGGACATTGGTACAAAGAAATTATCATCACAATTGTCATGCTAAAATACTATGTGTCTTTTGAACTAAGTTTCTATAATATATAACTGTTGTCTGTTAACATTCTGCAGGGATTAAACTATTAAAACAACTATGGTTGCTAAAAAAAAAACAGCCTGTCTAACTGTGCTTTATACTTCAAAGTGCTTAATGTCCAGACGAAATTATAATAGTTAAACTACTATTGTCATTGATCTTATCTTCTGGGTGTTCAGCAACTAAAGTTTGGAGACCAAAACTAGAAAGGTAACTGGGCTAGGAGGACAGCCAATATTTTGGACCTGGCCCCTCAAGGTCTACAAGATCCAGGACACAAAAGAACCTTTCCTATAGGATCCTACATCTTTGGTAAGTCACTCAACTTCCTGAGCAGAGAGATTTCTGGGCACTGGAGAATAAATACACTGTTTACCAAAAGAGGGTCACCACAAGAGAAAAGTCTCCCATGCTTTCACTGAAAGCAACATGGTCACATAAGGCTGTGACCCATCCTAATGGCTGACACTGACAGAGGAGCTGAGAGGCTCTATGCATGTTTCTAAAATAATGCCTGAAGAGACTTAACTGACCTTGGTAGATAGCAAGAGGTTCATGTTGAATGACACAAGTCTCACTTTAACTTGGTCATTAATACCCAGTAGAAAAGAATAACCAAAAGAGGTATAAAATAATGTCACAGACATAAAGCTAGATATAAAAAGGGGCTCCAGTCATTGACCCCTTCTGGAAGTTTTCAGCTCTACCAGTAGCTGACCATGATTATGGATCATTAGGAAAAACTATGGTATAAGAGCTCAGCTAGAGTTTTATATTTCTTAGCACAATTTGTGCTTCAAATTGTCTCTTATCTTCCAGCTAAAACTAGAGAGACTTATGACAAAGTATCAGACTTATAGATAACCTCTAAGTTCAGCAGGTTCAATCACTATTTCAGTGTCTAAATGTGGCTTTCTCCCCAACCTGCCCTTTCATTCTAGTGTGCTCATGCTTAGATTATGCATACTCTCATTTCTTAAAAGTTTTCTTTATTCTTGCATAGAGGCTGCCAAACTCCAAGTGGTCATACAAATGGAACCACTGATAAGTGTGCTAGACTTCTTTATTTATTTAATTTTGGGGGCCCTTGCAATTGTGAGGCAGGCAGCAGAACCACTGAGCCAATCCCCAGCCCCAGTGCTAGACTTCTTTTACTGGGATCTACCAGACTGACCTTGTAAACAGTTCATAACTGCTAAACTGTATGACGTCTATGTTGGATTCTGAAGTCCTCTGGACCTTCTCCTTATTCTTTGTTGGCTATATTCATAGCAATCCTGCTGACCTTATAATATGGACCATGCATTAACTGTTTATTTGTCTTCATCTTCTCCAGATTTAAAAGCTGTGCAGCTACGAAGATGACAATGTCAGGCACCTACTGAAGGTCTTTAGATAGACACTCTGTAGAGTAACACTAACTGCTGATCACAACTATGACCCTCTTCAGCTGGAAGTAGACAGAGCTATCTTTGCCCTTTTCTGCCTCACAGCAGTACTTCTTCAGAGGGGGAATATTGCAGATAGGTAAGTTAATTAGATATCTTATAGGCAGTTAGACAGGGCCACCCTCAAGGTGCCAACATGGAGGAAAATCAAGACGTGTTCACTGAAGGCCAGAACTTTGAAAGGAGTTGCTTCCCCTAGGGATGAATAGCAGTGATTGATACTCTAAATAGGTTTCAATCACCTGGGTGGGAGGCCAAGGTCTTAAACCAACCTTTCCAGGAAATATCCCCGACTCCATCCTTACTGAAGATCCTTGTACGCTTGCTATCTATGTGACTTGTTCCCCCATTAGACCCCCATTTAATCAATATTCTTATTGGTTGGTCATGGTTTTGCCCTATGTAGTGCCCACCTAGTAAATTTCCACTGGGTGTTACAGTTTTGTCCCATTTTGTACAGGCCTCACCACATGACTTCGTTGTATAAAACATCTTTGAAAAGTAGGGTGAGTGGGCAACCCTCTTTCCAGTCCCCCCTCTGTCTCTCAGACAGAAGCTTTCTTTCCCTCAATAAATTTTTCCTACTCTTAAAAATAAGAGGACTATCAAATGCATGTTATATGTACAGAGTTCACCAAAAATGTATACCTAAGGAAAAGAAAAAATTGTATGAATATTCTAATACTAAATCTTCTGAGACATCAGGAGGACACAATTATAAGAGGTGCTCAAAGTGGTGGCCCTTAGCTTCCAGACATTTATTAGTATGATGAACTGCTGAAGTTTGTATCCAGTTTTGGTGGGCTCTTTGTATATTGCAATTTTAAACTGTAATTTCAGCCTATAGTATTGGGCTGTTCTTATTTAGTTTGCTTTCTTGGTTATATTTTCCAACTTCTGCAGTGTGGAGCTAAAATTTTTTCTGTACTTTAAAAAATGTACAGAAAGTATCCCTATGCTATTGAAAGGAAGCAATGCCCTTCTTGTTTCTTCTGCTAGTGAACAATACTGTGTGGGGTCCAAGCCGGAGGGGGTGCTACAGCAAGCACTAGATGATCAAATCGTCTGAGAGCTGATGGAATGCAAGCCTCATCTGGAATGGCTGAATCTGTGGTGACCGTGCTTTCTGAACCTCAAATTGGTCACACGATTTAACATGTAGGGGGTTGCAATAGGATAGATTATTTTAAATCAGAACTGTTCTCAAAACTCTAAGACATATGGTTGTTCTGCCTATAGGACACAATGCTTCAGAAAGGAAGAGAAATTCTACATGCAGTCAAAGAAAGGCTGGTATCTAATAAAACTGTAGCTGCTGGTTCTGAATATCCACTGAAGCACAACTCTTGGTTCTCCCTTGTGTAAATGGAGACAGCATTTTAAATCCAAAGGACTATTACTTTTACATCTGTTGGCATCTAGTCAGTTTCTGTTTAAAGTACTCCCTGCACAAAATGTGCATGATTGCCAACATTAATTTACTCCATAATTCTCCTGAAACCTGTAAAATGAATGCTTTCCTCCAGAGAGCTACTCTCCCTAACACCATTAGCACCCTGTTTCCTCCCTTCTTTTCTACCATCCGCACCAATCTCAGGGGTGGTTCTGAAATAACAACCATTTTCCTTCCTACTCATATGGAGTCATTAGGTCCTCTTTAATTACAGAGACAGAATAAAGCAAAGCAGAACATCCTTTTCTGAGACCCCATTAATGGAGAAAAGTTAAATACTACTTACTGCTTCTTTTTTAAAAAAGAAAAAATGATTTCACAACATTCAAATCAAATGAATAGGATATGTGGAGAATTCAGTTTTGATATAAAATCAAGTTATTTCAAAACCCTGGAAAAGCCTCGGACTTAACATTCTGTGATGGTTCTATTTAAATATATTGCATTCTCACCTTCTGGAATGATTGAATTCATCCTAAATATGCACTAGCTATAAAGCTCAAAAATGATGAAAAGTTAAACCAATAAGCTGTCATGGTTAATCAAACTTTCCTATGGAATACTTTATGCTCAATTCATAAGAATATGAGCCCTTGGTTTCGTGTCCTATGGGATAGATCCCAAATGCTGGCAAATCTCTCTTACAATGAAAGTAGTTTGAAAAATTTCAAGGGCCTAGTTATGTATAGATGACATGTAGAGGCAATGTCCATTCCAAATGATACTTACATAAATAAATTTCAAAAGTCCATCTCAGAGCAAAGCAATGGAATATTTAATTGAGCTCCACTGATGAGGGAAGGTAGGAGTGAGTGTGTATGTGTGTGTGTGAGAGAGAGAGAGAGAGAGAGAGAGAGAGAGAGAGAGAGAGAGAGAGAAGACAGAGGATGTCCCAAAAGCAAGAAGGGGAGAAAAATGATTTGGACTTTGATAATATTTATCTTCTAGTGTTCTATTTTTGTCATCATGCCAAGAATTCTGCATTCAAACATCACCAGAACAATGGCACACAACATTAGATGGGATGCAAAATATTGGAACACATTGTAGGTGCTTAGTAACTATCAAATCATATTTACTGATTCATTCAACAATTAACAATTAAAACTCTCTAAGTAGCAGCCATCAGGATAGGCAGTGAGAACACAAAGATGAGAGACCATATCCTGCCCTTGCAGAAGTAGCAGTTGTAGTTGGACAAATAAACGTATGAAAAAAAGTACAGGGTACTCAATACAAGGGAGGTTGAGTATGATATTAGTAGATGAAATGTAGCCTTCTCAGCAAACATAGCTCTTGAGTTTTAAAGAATGATTAGGACTTAGTCAAACTAAGGATAGGTAGGATGGTAGTGAATGGATAAATAAAATTACCCAGTATTTTTTGGTATAAGAGCATCATATCACTACCAGTTAGTTTGTGGGCTTACAGGCTTCCAAAAACATAAATCCTTTATAGTTTAAAATAATCAATTAAAAGAGCTCCTGGCTAAAGTGTCAATATCTAATTCCAAGAAAATAAATCTTTTCTTCGTCAGAAATCCACTGACTTTATAGTCTATTGCTGCTACTGAGCCATCTAAAGCCAAGCTCAGAACTTTTAGAAAGCAAATGAAAACTGGGTAATGTTTGAGAAAACTGTACTATTTTTAACATAGAATATTATGTATTTTCAAAAACAGATTTAAGCTCAAATCCTAGATTCCCCATATAATAGCTGCATAGTTTACTGCTTTAACTTTTCTGAAACTCAGTTTCCTTCCCTTGTTTAAGTGGTAAAAATTCCTTTCATGTGTAATAAAACTGTTGGGGAGAATTTAATTAAACAGTATATATAATTTTGACACTTAGTGTATCATTCTTTTCCCATTTTCCTGGAAATTGAGGCTAGGGTAATAGAGCAGGGGAATAGAACCTCAGCTCACCACACCGGAAGTACCACAGACAGTGGCCTGGTCAGCCTCATGTTAGCCAGCAAGCCAACCCTCACTGATCAGCTGCCGAAAAGTAATATTTAGCTATGGATTTTGAATGCTAGTAGGCAGCTTCTACTTACCATTTCATTTACACAGTGGAGACACCTGTAGTGTAGCATGTAGAACAGAATTGTTATAGGAAATCTCTCCTGTGGTAATAAAGACACTTACAGTTAACGAGCTAATAAATATTGTCAAGTGACCTTTCCCTTGCCAAGTATTAAATCGTAAAGGGAGGGGGGAAGGGAAGGATTAGAACTGCATATTTGCTACGGAGTTCAAGTTCTGGACTTCTTCTGGCTAACGTTTATTATAATTGACCATATTTTAGGCTTGTCAGCCCATTAATTCCTCCTAATGCCTAACACTGTATATTCTCTAGGGCAGAGACCTCTTTCTTACAGGCTGGTGTGTGGTTAAAAGCACAATGTTCTTTTTTCTTGCCAGTAATAGCTCTTTGTAGGTTTTCTTCTCCTAGAGCAAAGGATGAAGATTGGTCTTCTTTGCTACAAAATTAGCCCTTTTCAGCCTTACTTCTTTCCATACATTGTCATGAACACACACTCTCAACACATACTAAAAAATTCATGAGTTTAGATCTTTTCATCCTGATAGTGTACTTTATTGCAAATACCTGATCCATTCCCATTATTTCTAATCAGACTGATGTAACATGTTACATTACTTCAGCTTCTAATTACAGACGTTGTGATGGCTTCAAAAGATGTCCATGAGTTCTTCATACACCTTCTTTCAGAAGATAGAGCCTCTTTCCCCTCACCAGTAGTCTTGGTTGAATTTAATGCCTTCCAATGAATGGAATGTAGTAAAAATGATGATGTTCAATTTCCAAGACAGGTCATAAAAGGGATTGTGGCCTCTTCTCTCTCTCTCTCTCTCTCTCTCTCTCTCTCTCTCTGTCAGGCTATGTACTTTCAGGGACATTAATGCCATGTTGTGCGCATTCTCAAAATGACCCTGACCCACATGGGTAGAAACGCAGGCTGCCCACAAATAGCCATGTGAAGCAGCCATCTTGAAAGTGGGTCCCCTACCCCTCATCAGATTGATTACTAGAATCCTGGCCTGACAGTTTATCACCTCATTAGAAACCTTGATCCAAAATTACCTAGCTAAGCCACTTCCAAATTTTTGACAGAACCTAAAAGATTATAAAGCCTAAAAGTTTGGGGTGGGGGTAGTTTGCTGTATGGCAAAAGAAAAGTAGCCAGGAATGCTGATCTATGCCTGTTATCTCAGCACTGAGGCAGGAGGATCACAAGTTTGAGCCTGGTCTGGCTCATTTAAATGAATTAGCAAAAACCTATTTCAAAATTTAAAAGGGGGGTGAAGCTGGGATATAGCTCAGTGCAAAGACCCTGTGTTCGATCCCAAGTATCACCCCCCAAAAAATCTAAGAAGATTTTTAACCTGTGTGCATATAGGCTCTGGGAGGCATAATAGTCCATTAGCCTCAGACATTACTCTGATTCCTTGGCTACTTATGGGTCGCAGACACATTGTTTACACATTTTCACTTCTTCCCAAAGAAATGGTGAATTTCTCTTCACGCTTTCTTCCTCAAGTTATATCCATGGCTGTCTCTAAGTATTAGCTGGAGAAGAATTTTAAGGCACCAGCCTTCCTATAG